CTTCCCCAAACACTGTCTTTTGCGGAGCGACTTCAGCGTCTCATCGAGACCCTGAAGCGCAAGGATTATTCCAGCTCCAAGACCTCTTACGACACGGAGACCATCGAGCTGCCGGGATCCATATCCTGATCCCACCCGGCTCCCAGCAGACCCGAGGAAAAAAAGATGAAATAAACAGAGATTTATTTATTTATAAAAAATATCTATACATGAAGAGATGCTCTCTGGACTTCTTTCTGTCCGTCCAGTGCAACCCAGACCTCCATCCAATCCCTCCCTCCTTTCCCTCTCCAACCAGGTGGAACTGCGAGTCCTGAACCTGAAATGCCAGTGCTGGATGGAGGTGATTGGGTCCACAGGCCAGGTCTAGTTTTCCTCTCACCCTTTAGTGAAACTGGCTAGAAGCGGTCTCTGCATATGCAATTCAGCTGGGGTTGTGCCCTGAAAATGCTGTGAGCTGAGCTGACTGGGAAAAAAGAGGCAAAATTCAAAGTCTTCCACCAGGAGGCCAAGTTCTCCTGGTGCTATCAGGAGACAGCGAGGCTCGTGCAGGTGGAGAGAGCTCTCAGAACCTGGGACAACACAACTGTGCAGCCATAACAGCAAATGTCCAGTACAGCACCCCGATTGGCTGCTGTTGACTGGCCGGCTGAACAAGGCTTGTGCAAGTTCCTGACTGGCTAAAGGACTTAGTTCCTGGATTCAGGCAAACTAGAAAATTATTGGCTATAGTTTTCCAGGAATAGCAACAGAATAGAGGCCTACCTTTTGGATGCACCTGAGTGGATTTTGAATGGCTTTCTTACCATTCAGGGGTATTTAAGATCTTCCATGGCACCGAACAGAAAGTCATTTAAATGATCAGGATGCAAAGACATCACAAAGAACCAACAGTAAATGTCAGAAACAGATAGGAGCCACGGCATGGCTAGAGTCTGAAATTTTCTCAAGAGTGGCTACAAATGCTCAACTTGAGTGGCAGACCTACCTGCCCTGTCCTCAGGCTGGGGTCAGCCCTCAGAACTGCTCATATGTGTTGGCCAAGTCCTGGGAAAGAAATCCCGATGGACTCAGGTCAACTACCCTCTTTGGTCAAAGGAGTAAATAAAATTTGACTGCTAGATTACCACTTGTGTTATCAAAGATGGAAGACCCCAGTGAAAGAAGACCCTGGCTTCTGGCATTCACTTGCAGGTCCATTCATCAAATTGCATGGAGGGATTCTGAACAAGTCGGGGAGGGACTACAGTAGCAACAGTACTGTAATCCAGAGATCTTTTTTTTTTTTTTATTGTGGTATTGAAGATTGAACCTAGGGGTAATCTACTACTGAACTATGTACCCAGGCCTTTTGATTTATTTTGAGATGGGTCTCACTAAGTTGCCCAAACTGTCCTTGAACTCATGATTCCCCACCTCGGACTCCAGAGCAACTGGCATCACAGGTGTGCACCACTGCTCCTGACTCATCTCTTCTTATGAGACTTCTTGGGTCAAGAAGAGTCTTCCTGGTGCTCTTTCTCCTCTTAAATGTTCTAGCCCTTGTCCTAATTTATTTCTCCTTCCTCAGTGAAGTGGAAAGTCTTGCCCTGGGCCTGTCATCCCTAGCTAGCACCCAACCTCCTTCCTGGGTAGAGGGCCGACTCTCAGGAAGCAGACACGTGGCCACACGCTGGGTGGAGCATGGGGAGTCCAGTGATGGTTTCTTGTTCACATCTGGAGGCATCCCATCCACATGAAGGGGTTGATGCATGCTGCGGTCCCCTATCTAGTTTCCACTTCATGGTACTCTATGACTTCCTTTTCTATTTAGCAAATAGTTGTTTCCACGTGAGCTTATGCAGGCCCACCTTAGTTCTATAGATGGGTCTCATGCACCATACTTCTTCCTGGCAGAAGCATGTAGCCTTCCATGCCTGAGAATGCTCATCTCCCCATGTCTTAGCCAACATGCTAAGATTCATTCCTAATCTTTAAAATTAAAACATCTATTGCATTGGCTAAATGTGTGTGACTTTTTGCCAATGCAATAGATGTTTTAATTTTAAAGATTAGGAATTAATTTTTTAAAAAAAATGAGAGAGAGAGAGAGAGAGAGAGAGAGAGAGAGAGAGAGAGAGAGAGAATCTTTTTTTGTAGGTGGGCACACCACAATGCCTTTATTTTCATGTGGTGCTGAGAATTGAACCCGGGTCCCTCCTGTGCTAGGCGAGTGCTCTACCACTGAGCCACAATCCCAGCCCTAAGAATGAATTTTTTCATAAGTAAATTGAGGCTCTTTGGTTCACCTTCGTGTTCCTGTGGATATTCTGACCCTGGAATAGATATCACTTACATGAAGGCAGAAGAAAAATGGACCAGCCACCCAGAACACTGGAACCCAGGGGGCCTAGCGTCCGAGGCATGTGCTCACTGCTCTCAGGACCATGAAGCACATGATGAGTTCTTTCCTCCCTCCCTCCCTCCCTCCCTCCCTCCCTTCTTTCCTTCCTCCCTGCTCCCTACCTCTTTCTTTTTGTGCTGGGGATGGAACTCAGAGCCTCATACTGCCACATCCCAGTCCTTACGGTAACGACTTTAAAAGATTAAATTAACAGTGAACGTTATTGCTAGGAAGAATAACAGAAAAGAATCTGACAACAGATGAAACTGCACAGGGCAGAAGTCTGACCCCAGAAAGGCAGCCATAGTGAAGGTCACAGATGCACAGTTAAAAAGATCCAGAGGAAGAGGTTCTGACTGTGACTCTGATCAGGAGAGGAAATGGAATATTATCTACAAGGGAAAACTGACCCTGATGAGTACCATTTTTTTAAATTTAAAGTGATAAAGTAAAGACATGGAGATGGGTAGCCTTCAGTGCCCAGAAAACGGAGCCAGAAGCTGGCTTAATGGAGTCACTGCATGACTGCCCTTTTGGTAAGTGACTACCAGTGACTACGTACGGTGTCCCCACAGGTGGCTCTTTCTGTGGGCATGTGCTTTCGTCTCCCTTGGGTGAATACCTAGACCAGTGAGCAGACCTGGAAGTGTGGGAGGTGCAGTTTGACATAGGAATACACCATGAAGCCGTCTGACCGTGAGCTAGCCTACACACCTGCCCTCCCCCAAGTCTCCTCTACCTGTGCCTTTCTCCACGAGATTGTATATAAATGGAATCCTGAGCAAGTCCTCTTTTTCCTTTCTTTTTTTCTCTCTGTCTCTCTTTTCTAAGATGGGGTCTCAAACTTATGGGCCCAAGCAATCCTCCTGCAGCCTCCCAAGTAGCTAGGACTATGGGCACACGTCACCTCGCCCAACTCAAGCACTTTTTTTTTTTTAAAAAAATCTACTTTCTTTCACTCACCATTCACTTTGACATTGGTTCATGTGGTAGTATGTATCAGTAATTTATTCCTTTTTATTGTTAAGTGTTTCGTGGTATGAGTATAGCACAATTTGTTTTTCTATTGTATTGGGTTGTTTCCAGTTTTGGCTATGACAGTAAAGCAGCGATGAGCACTCATATTCATGTATAAGTCTTTCGCATTTTATTTGGACTTATATACTTTCATTCTGTTGGTTAAGTGCCTACATGAAGAATGGCAGATCATATAGTAGGTGTGTGTTAAACCTTTTTTCAAAAACTGCCAAAATATTTTTTCAAAGTTACTTCAACATTTTGTATCCCATAAAGCTGTAGCGTTATAGTTCCAGGCCCTCTACAGCCTCAGCAACACTTGGTATGGTCCTTCCTTTCGTTCTAGTCCTTCGGATGGGTATACAGTAACCGTCATTGTGTTTTTAATTTGCATTTACTTAATGATTGGCAATGTTAAGCATCTTCTCATGTGGTTATTTCCATCCAAATATCTTCTTTGATAAAGTTTCTTGTCAAATCTTTTGCCTATTTAAAAATATTTATAGAGTTTTGTGGGGTTTTTTTTGAGTTTTGAGTTTTTCTAGGTGCTGAATATGACATTAATACATTATATGCTTTTAAAATATTTCTCCCTGTCAAGGGGAGAATTCTCTAAACAGTCCTTGAATTCTCAAAACAAGGTCCTTTGAAGAACAGAAATTTTAAATGTTGATGGAGTACAATTAATCAAATTGTTCTTTTATGGATCATGTTTTTGATATCAAATTGAAGAAAGTTTTGCTTAACCCAAGCCTGCAAAAATTTTCTTCTATATGGTCTTCCAGAAATTTAATTTTAGGTTTCACATTGAGGTCTATGATCCATTTTGAGTTGATTTTCGTGTTGGTGTGAACTGTGTGTGGCCGTCCAGTGGTTTCAGCACTATAGTTTGAAAAGATTCTCCTTTTCCCATTGAATTGCTTTGCACCTCTGAAAAAAATTAGTTGCTCATATACCTATGGTTCTGTTTTTGGACTTTCTATTTTGTTTCTCTGATCTATGTGTTTGTCTTGATACCAGTACCACTCTGCCTTATCTTATATGGTATATAGTTTACAGTAAGTCTTGAAACCACTTAATGTCTGTCTTCCAATTTTGTTCTTTCTCACGACTGTCTGGCTAGTCTGAGTCCTTTGCACTCCATTTAAGTATTAGAATCAGCTTATTGATTTCTACATTAAAAATCCTGTTAAAATGGTACAATCCAATTACTTGGAAAATATTTAAGGGATGTGAAATCAGTGTGTCAGATGGATATCTGTTCTCCCATGCTCACTGCAGCACTATTCAGTAACCAGGAGATGGAATCAACCTAACCATCAATGAATGAGT